TTAGATTAGTCCTAGTCTTAGCTACTAGTAGTTGCATTATTGATGTGTTGTCTTGAAGACGGCGTGTCTAAGTACTTGTCTAAGTAGTCGTTCTTTATTACGTAGCTCCTACATTTTTAAGACCAAATGGCATGACTGTATAGTAATAAGTACCCCAAGGGGTGATAAAGCATGTCTTTTCTTCATCTTCTTTTGCAATTAGAATTTGGTTATATCCTGCGTATCCATCCATAAAGGATAACATCGCATGCTCAGCCGTATTATTCACCAATATATCAATATGTGGTAGAAGGAAATCGTCTTTGGGACTAGCTTTGTTAAGGTCCCTAAAGTCGACACACATGCAAACTCATCCATCCTTTTTAGGGACTGGGACGATGTTTGCTACCAATTCTGGGTAATTACATACGCGAATGAAACCTGCGTCCAATTGTTTTTGTACTTCTTTTATTTTTAAAGCAACGTTAGGCTTCATTCGTCGAAGTTTTTGTTTTTCTAGTTTAGACATAGGGTTCAAGGGAATGGTATGTTCCACGATTTCCCTATCTATTCTAGGCATTTCCTTGTATGACCAAGCGAACACGTCTCCGAATTCTTTGAGCGTCGATATGAGAGTCGATCGCTCTTCCAGATTTAAAGTTAAGCCAATTTTGACTTCTTTCTTATTTTCATTTGTTCCTATGCTGATCGTTTCAGTTTCTTCGATCACATGATTCTTTTGTTCTCGTTCATTCATTAATTCATTCAATTTATTAATATCATCCTCTTCGTTAGATTGATTATTACAGCATTCAAAAAATTCAAGATAAGGCATATACTCGGAAATAGAGCTCATCTTATTAAAATCAAAAGCAAGTACATCAAGAGAGGAGTCCTTTTTGGGATCCTCGTCCTTAGAACTAGAAAATAAAGACTCAGTAATTGCCACAAGGCCTAAATTCTCAGCTTCCTTAAAATCTAAACTTGACTCATCGTTAGATTCCTCAAACATTCGTCCTTCGCCTGTGATGACTTCAAGCTTCTCACCTTTGTGGTTTGTCCATTTGAAGGTTTTCCTCCATCCATGCTCAAAGGTATTATTGAAAGGAGTGATCAGCGAAGTAGGATCAAAAGCTTCATCTTGGATGACATGTTGGTTGGTTATGATAGAAACATGGTTTTGCTCTAGTCCAAATATCAAGTTAAAGGCTTGCCTATCATAGCACCTTGGAGTTGTGCGTTTCAATTGAATGACACTGTCATCATTCAAGAAGTAGCAATCGTGAAAAATCTCGAATCCAGGCTTCTTGATATCTTCAAGAACTAGTGGTTCTGGAAAGTCATAGCATGGGTAATTCTCTCCCTCCCTAATGAATTGTCCATTAAGGATTTGATTGTAAGATGTGAGTAAAGAAATTATCACTTTCTTATTGTTGTTCCTACGTGCCCTTATTTTGGCATCATGAGTTTCAAGTTCTTCCTTGGTTGGCTTATATCCCAATCCAAAGGAGAAGCTTTTGTTTGGGATAGGAAATAAGATAGATTTCTTCATTCCTATTCCCAAAGGCATCCTAGGAAAGTAACTACTCTTGAATAAGATGTTGTTTACTATTGGGGTGGAATATGGATCAATTTTGAAAGGTACTTCAAGACTTTCATCCATTTCTAGCGTGCGGATAGCCTCTACGACAAATCCCCACATATCTTCTTCATCATTGTCATGATTTATCTCTAGAAGAGATTGATCGTTTGTTACGACTTTTAGAGGAGAAGCATGTATGGTCATAGGAAGACCTTGATAGTTCAACCTAATCATTTGATGGAGCGAAGATGGTATTGCTCCAAGTTCGTGTATCCAAGGACGTCTAAGAAGAAGGTTGAATGTAGGTTTTATGTCCATGACATGGAATTCAACCATCTTTGTGTATTGGGCCAGTGGTAATTGATAGCTTAATAGTTCCACACACCGATCTCCTTGAATTGTCATATGCCCTAATGCTTTGTGTTGTTCCATGAAAATCTTTTACCGGGTTTAGGCCTAGATATTTTGCGGTTCGTAATGTTTATTTTAGGGTTTTTCTATGTCGTACCTTTGTGTTTTTCACTTTTCTACATTGTACCACCTCTTTTTGAAAATTACACACGGTACCCTTGTATTTTATATTTTCGTATCTACTATGCCTTCATTGTTAACCTGGCGTTAAATATTCCGTTAATTTTGTTAATACTAAGAATTTTTCTATGTTGTGCCCCCTTGGTTCTTTATTTTTAAGATGTACTTATTTTTTATCAATTTTAAAATGGAAAATGTCATCATTAATGTACATTGATAATGGATGTCAAACATCATTGAACGAGTTTCAAAACAAAAAAACAACATATTAAAACCGAGAAAAGGCACAACTTAGAAAATCACCAAAAACATAATAATAAATCTATGCAGTTTGACCAGTACATTTGCCAACGTATGAGTTTGACTAACCATTTATTTAATTACCAATAAATATAAATTATAAAAGAGAAATTGATTCGAAAACTATAAATTAAGACGATTCTAACAAGTATCAATTTGACTATACTTAACACTAATATTAGTTAAAGACCTTAAAGTGGTGTAGTCAAATAGTGTATAAGTTAAAATAAAGTATTTATATTGAAAAGGAGAGTAATTTTTTTTTTTTTTTTTTTATTTTGAGACTCATTTAATAATACTTTGACATACATTATCAATTGGACATTTAATGGTGGAATTTTTCATATAAAAATGGAAAATTTGTTCAGAAAAACCTTTTAAAATTTTTTTGGCCGGGAAACCTATTTAAAAATTTATTTTGTTCAAGACAACCAAGTGAGACTTTCCGATGTTGACTCACACTTTTCCGGCGTTGACCACCCTTTTTCCCTTATGCGTGACTCTAAATCTCTAATTACACTCCCATTTTTCTAATTCCACTCCCTTTTCCTTCCAATTACACACTCTCTCTCTTGCTCTCTCTCTCTTTCTCCTTTTCACTCTCCTCCCTCTCTCCTCTATGTGAACAAGCCATTGTTGAAGTCTAGTGAATTCGAAGCAATTGAAGACATTCCCAACTAGTTTCGACCAGAGGTAATTGCTTAATTTGTCCAACTCTCAAAGTTTCAAAAGTTGATTAGAAATTAGAGTTCCCCCCCCCCCCTTAAACTTTCTCAATTATGTAGCAATTATGGTTCGAGGAGGTGATTTGCGGTGTAGGTGTGGCTTTCCTATTGTGAAGAGGACTTCATGGACCCATGATAATCTTGGGAGGGGATTAATTGCGGCCTCGATGCTTGTTCATAGGGAGGAGAGAGAGAAGGAGAGAGAGAGAGAGCAAGAGAGAGAGTGTGTGTAGTTGGAGGGAAAAGGGAGTGGAGTTAGGAAAAGGGGGTCTAATTAGAGATTTAAGAGTCACGTGAGTCGCACATGAGGGGAAAGGGGTGGTCAACGCCGGAAAGTGTGAGTCAACATCGGAAAGTCTCACTTGGTTGTCTTGAACAATAAAAAAAATTAAAACAGGTTTCTTCTGGCAAAAAAAATTTATGAACAAAATGTCTACTTTAAGAGGTTTTTCTAAATAAATTTTCCCTTTAAAAATTGATAAAAATGATACATAAGATTATAAGAATAAACAAAGAACCATAGGGGCATAACATAAAAAAATTCTTATTACTAACAAAGTTAACGGAATTCCTAACGACAAGTTAACGGTGAGGGCATAATAGATAAGAAATAAGGGTACGTTTCATGAAGAGATGATACAACGTAAAAAAAAGTGAAAAACACAAAAATACAACGTAGAAAAACCCTTTAGTTTTAAGATACTATTACTACTTTTAGTCATCTTATCTAAAGCGGACGTACATTAGTTTTTGCCAAATGAAAAAAGGACAAATTAAAAAGAATGATGGAGTAAGGGAATGAGTTAAGCATGTCTGAAATGAAAACGAAGATTAAAAGAAAATAAAAAAATCTAAAAACCGCGAGCTTTATTATTGGGGGGGTGTTAAATACCACCATTCAAAATGATCAAAACCGCCAATATTTAGTGTAAATGGACAAGCATGCCCTTAGTACTTCACTACTATCTTTCCTCTTACCATCAATCACTAACACCTTGAAACCACCACCCTAATTGACGACTAACACCACCACCACACTGGACGGCGACGACCACCACCACCCTGACCGGCAACCCACCACATCCCCCTCAAAGACGACCCACCACCTTCCATCTTTGGTGGGAAGGTGGTGGTTTTTTTGGCAACCGTACAAACCGAGCACGGTAACCGATGTTGGGCTTCGGTTACCATGGAATGGTTAAGGTGCATGGTAACCGGAGCCCAAAAACGGTTAACACGCACGGTAACCAGAGCCAAAAACTGGTTATCGTGCGTGGTAACCAGAGCCCAAAACCAATTACCACGCACGGTAACCGATTTTGGGCTTGGGTTACCCGAAGTTAACAAAAAAACCACCACCTTTCCGCCGGCGAGGGAAGGTGGTGGGTCGCCATAGAAGGGGTGTGGTGGGTCGTCGGTTAGGGTGGTGGTGCAGTCGGAAGGGGTTGTGAGTTGCCAGGAGGATACGAGGTGGTGAAGTAGTAAGGTTACGATTGTCCATTCACACCAAATGTTGGCGGTGTTGATCATTTTTGTTAACGGTGTTTAACAATCCACTTATTCTCACACATTCCCAAAAGTAAGAACCAAAATCTTTTCCCAAGTAAATCAGTCTTAAAGTTTGGAATTAAGAACTAAATTAATTTCGTAACAGGGTAAAGGATGCATTTAAAGCAGCTACAATCTTGTTAAGTTGTTCCCATATAGCAAAAACTGCAACAGATTTAAATTAAAGGTTGCTGGAAGACGATTACACTGTAAATCAGCAAGTCCATCCAAAAAGATTGAAGTCGTTGCCAAATTATCCTAAGATAGTTAACTAAAATTGCAACCTCCCCCAAAATATATAAGCATGAAATACAAATAAATAAGAGTAAATAAGATTAAAGACGAGCACGATAATCAGATTTAAAAGGCTTGAGATCAGGAAAACAGCTCCGGAGAGGTAAATTACACTTACGTGGAGCACACTTCCTACAACGGTCTCGAGCGCATTTCAGGTGCACCTTAACACCAGCAGCCTTACACCGAATCTCCTCTTCATTCCACTCTAAACATAGCGACACCCGATCGCTAAACAATATCCTGCAGTCAGGAACACGAAAACTATGGCGAGTATCCAATAACTCCAAATCTTTGTGGCCATCCAAAATAGTAGACAATGCATTGATCGATAAAGCACAATAGTCGAGCCTCAATCGCTTGAGTTGAGGACATCTGTCACGTATAATTGTTGCAATATCATCATCCACAGCGCCAAATAACCGCAGAGTTTCGACCTCAGTAAAGTTTCTTCGGAATTGTGCTATTAATATTGAAGGAAACTGCACTTTCTTCAGCTTCTTCCAGTATTTCATAGCAGGCAGAATAAAAGTATAATTCGTACGCACTGCCCGGGGTATTATCAACTTCTGCATGGAAGGTGTCCTGCAAAGTACATACAAACATGTAAGTATTGTCTATACAAGATAGCATTTGAGGTAGAGGTAGAGGTAGCAAACAGGTCATTTGGGTCAGGTTTTGTTCTCGAGTCAAGTCAGGTTCTAAACTACACTTGAATTTAACTGATTTGATGTTGCTTTTCTTCCATGTAATTACTAATTTTTACAAAAGCAAAGCTGTAGTAAGCTTATACTACAGCTTGAATTGTTTCTACCGATTAAAGTCCTATGTTTAATAAATATTCCATATTAAACTTCTTAAAATGAAAAGCTCAAATTTACCAAATGAATCAGTTTTAATCAAGGAAAAATTCACAAGAATAATCTCACCTTTGGCAAGTCTTCTCAAAATAATCCCACCTTTTCTATGTATCTTCTCGAAATGGACCCTTTTACTAGGTACTTGGTCAGGCGGTATTAGGTGGACTTTTATTATGTTTTCCCTCCCTTATCAATTAATTATCCTAACTACCATCCCATTTCTGAAACACCATTACTCACTCTTTCCCCTTCCATTAATTAAAGACCAGAAAATTAGCAAAAAAAAAAAAAAAAAAAAAAAAATCGTTGGGTTTGTGGGGATTACGCATAAAGTACAATGGTGGATGTTAAGCATCAAAATTTAAGGTATTGTTTTATGAATTACTGTTTAAATTTTTCGAAAATGTGTGGCTTGGATATGAAATTGTGTTTTCCCTTTTTTTTTTTGTTTTTTTGTTTGTTTGAATAGGTGATTGTCGATACCTGTTTGTTGAATGTTGATAGTTGCTTGTTGCGATTAGTGCTCTACATTTCTACAAAATTGAGCCTTGGTTGTTGCGATTATTATTGTAATGGAGAATGTGACATTGAAGTTCTAGCATGGTGGTGTATTTAAGGAAGTAAAGAAGGGATTAAGGCCCTGTTTGGTTCACCTTATTTATGCTGATCTGATCTGAACTTATTTTTTCTGATCTGATCTGAACTTATTTTTTCTGATCTGATCTGATTGTCTGATTTGACCAAACTTTGACCTTAAGTGTACGATAATCTATAAGGAAAAAATATATCAAGTGGGATCTTGTTAGATTCGTAATAATGTGTAGTTTATTAATATGTAATTTTCACAATTTTTTTCATTACGAAATTAAGAATATTTAGCGATAAAAAACTGCACATAAAACGATGTTCTGATCTGAACTTATTTTTTCTGATCTGATCTGAACTTATTTTTTCTGATCTGATCTGAACTTATTTTTTCTGAAATAAGTAAAAATAAGGTGAATTAAACAAGGCCTAAGAGAAGAATGGGAAGCACACTTGTGGTGGAAGACAGGGGAGAAGATAATTATATAGCATAGCAATTCCAAGTTATATAGAAACCCACAAACTGTGCAATGGTAAGTGCCACATAGGCCAATTCACCTATTGCAAGTCATAAATGAAAGGGGTAAAAGGTGAGACTATTTTGAGAAGATTCATAGAAAAGGTGGGATTATTCCCAAATTTTTAAAAGGTGAGACTATTTTGAGAAGACTTGCAAAAGGTGGGATTATCCTTTAATCAATAAGAATTAGTATAATGAGTTTTCATCAGTAAAATTGGTAACCCCGAGAAGAAAAGCAGTGAAATCAGTCAAATTATGAGAAGTAAATGGGGCCTAAATTGAATTTTATTGATTAAAAACATATTTTAGCCAATAATTTACAGATTTTTAAATCATGAAGTTTAGCGATTAAAACTTACTTTCACTAATTTGAACAAATTTGATTTGTAAATAAAAGTTTAATGAAAAATTATTGATTTTAATTAACAAGCTAAGTTTAAGGTAAATCAATAATTTCTTGAATAAACAATATATCTCACAAAATTGACAATAAATACAACAATTACCTTTTAGCAATATACCGATACTTATATTCTTGAAGAAAGGTTTCGCCATGATAAAATGCAGAGCAAGAGTCAACTGGCATAGTATCCAGCCTACGCTTCAAGAAAACAAGATATCTATTGTTCATTTGTTGGAACTTAGGGCAATCCAAGCGTTTGAGATTGATCACACCAGGGGGTGACATTGAATCTAATACTGCCGACAACCATGTCTTGCTCACCAAACATGCTACACAAAGCCTATCCCCCAATGGCACTCTCTTCATTATCTTTAACAATACATCGTAGTTCATTTCATCCCAACTCCACACTGTCGTAGTGCCACTTTCCGCCCTAAATAACTTCAATCGCATCTTTATCACAGCAACATATGATGAAAAAAAAAGACAATCCAAGAAAGTTAAAATAATAGTTATTCAAGATATTTCAAGTGGTCATCGAATAAAACACTGAAACCTTACTCATCCTCCAGGAAGTTCAAATTATTGATACTCAGGATATTTCAATTGGTCACCAAATAGAACATTAAAATTTAAATCACCCTTCAGGCTTACTTCAAAACCAACTATGAAAGGACAGATTACTCCACTAAATCTAATCTAACTTATGGTTTCCTCTCTCCAATCAATATTTCTACTCCCTACGACACTGCCCAAACTAGAGGTGATTAGAATAGCCATCATATTTCAACGGATCAGATTTAGTTTTGCTTAGTCCTCCTAATAATATCATAAAACAATCAAAGCTTGTATAATAGTCAAAGCTTGTATCATCGTCCATCGACCTTGTACTATACAAAACCTGAACTCTAAACCAAATTCCTGAAAGATCTCAACCAAAATGTTCAACAATCAACACAAACTTGAATACACCTTTTTCGGGGTCTATGTCAATGCAAATCTACTTCCCTTGTACGGTATACATGGTCTCATGACAATTAGTCAATGTTTGTTCAAACAAATCTCGTGCTTTAAAACTCCAAGTTACCAGCAAATATTCTACCTCAAAGCTCAGAAAGTCAGAAGCATTCATATCTATAAACATCATTTTCTATGGATGGCAAGCATTACCATTTGAACTAAAGTAATTTAAATGAACTCTATAAGACACTCCCATACAGTCACAGGAGAATTGTGCATAAGTCATTGAACAATGCTACCAAGACAAAGTTCACCCCTATTGGCCCTATTCAATCATCAACAGTCAACAATCCTTGATCAACTACCCATTAAACTATAAAAATAACCCCTTTACACACATCTTATGCAAGGACTGCTCATAATTTAATTAGGAAACTCAATTCAGCAAAGCTATAGTTCATGTCAACTTACAATCAAAACCTCAGAAAAATAATCCAATCTAAGTAATAAAGGATGCTCTAGAAATGAGTCAATGCTAGTGAGTTTCTCAAAAGTAGGAACTCAGCGGGAACTACATTGTTATTAATTTGCCTTTCTTAGTGCCCATGGCCTCACACAAATGCCACTCTATTTCTTAATATCTTCAAATCTCTGGAGCGTTCATCTCAAATTAAACCAGAAAATAAACATTAAGTTATTTTGTCTCAGGTAATCGTACAGGGCTAAAGTAAACATTGTCTCAGGCAATAGACCCCCCGCCCCAGCCCCACCAACGAAACCGCCCAAAACTTGAATTCCCCAACCCGAAACCACCCTAAACTCCCATCCCTTTCCCCACCCGAAACCCCCACCCCTTTCCCTGACCCGAAACCGCCGTAGACTCGAAACCCCTACCCCTGAAACCATTCCCCCACCCGCCGGAATTTGTGAATTTGTGTTTTTCCTATAAAATAAAATAAATAAACTACAATTCACAAATTAGCAACCAAAATTGACTCAATTATCAAACTAGACTCCAAAAATTACGTTAAATTCTTCGACTATCTATAACCAATAGTTCAATTATCCAACTTCGAAGAACCCTAAATTGAGTATATACTGACAATTAAATACACGATTAACACTAGATTGTCAAAATTAATATTAGATGATTAAAGAAAAAGAAGCATCTAACCTTAGAGACTGCTTCAATGGAGGAGAGAAAGCTCAGAAGCCCCTTCAATGGAGAATTTCGAGTACGCTTAAATGGAGGAGAGAGAGAGGAAGGAGTACAGCGAGAAATAGAAATAAAAGAGTACAGAGAGAGGAAGGTAGAAATAAAAGAGTACAGAGAGAGGAAGGAGTACAGCGTGATTCGTGAAAAAATTTCAGGTTTTTTTTTTTTTTTTTTTTTTTTTTTTTTTTTTTTTTTTTTATAATAAAATAATAGGTTGGACTGAGACCCGACTACACGTGGGTCTGGCATGCAAACATTAAAGGGTTCTGCAATACATTAGCAACCAAATTTGATTTAATTATGAAATAAGACTAGAAAAATCACATAATTTTAGGGATGTTTTATTCAATTATCATATTAGGCTCATAATTTTTCTTTTCTAGCAACATAATCGCTGGTTATAATCTTCAACAATCTTAGTAATTAGAAACAATATTCGAACCCTAAACTTACTGCACTGACAATTAAATTAAATTAGATCAAATATAAACCGTAGATTGTGAAATTGATATGATGATTACAAAAAGAAACAACAACTTACCGCAGAAGCTGCTTCAATGGGGGATACAAGTAATAGAAGGCGCCTCAAATGTTGGCTGCGCTTCAATGGAGAACTGAAAGAGAGAGAAGAGTAGGAGGAGGAGAGGTAGGCTTTGTTTATCCTCCGATTTTTGTTTTTTTTTCTTCTTATATTGACAATTAGGACAATTCAATGGGTTGGAGCCCCGCCCCAATTACAAATGGGTCAAATCGGTCTAGTAAATAAATGGGGCTGATCTTTATAAGGTCCATTATAATTATAATAGATAATGCTCGAGCAAATGCTCGAATTTTAAGTTATTTGCAAATATAGAATTTTTTTAAAAATTATTATGAAATACTCCATCCGTTTCATAATTAGAAGCCTATTTTTCATTTTTCATGGGAATTAAGGAAGTTGGTTGGGAGTACAAATATGCATGTGGGGTTAGAGAGAGCTAGAGAGAAAGAAAAAAGTGGTTGAGAATTATTGAAGAGATAGAGAGAAAAAGTGTTGGAAAATGATGTCAAAAGTATAAAAAGAAAAAGAAAAAGTATGACACATCATAAAAAAAGAGGGTATTATTGTCAAAAGTACTATCTATAAATAGTAATAGGCTTCTAATTTTGAATACCCAAAAAAAGAAAACAGGCTTCTAATTATGAAACGGAGGGAGTATATAGGAAATTAAGAGATGAAGAAGGTAAGAGTGATATTAGATGTAGAGAATTACTACTTGTGAGCTATTACTCTTATGTGATTTTTTGTATACATCATACAATAAATTAGCATGGCTATTTATAGTAAGATAATTTACTATTACATTGTGGGCTACTAACTTAGGCGGTGGCAAGGAGGTTGGCTAAGCCTTAAATACAAAGAAGAAAATGTATGGGCATTTACATTACATGTCCATATTAACCGAATTCTTAACACCCCCCCTTAATCCATACAATAATGGGGTATTAGTTGTCTCATTAAAACCTTGCTAGGTTAAACCCATTGGGATAAAAACCATAGCTAAGGGAAAAGAGTACAACAATATTTTGTTATATGCTTTGGTGTACTGCCTCATTAAAAACTTTGTCAAGAAAAACCCAATGGATAAAAAATCTAATCGAAGGAAAAAAGAGTGTAGTGCATATAATACTCCCCCTGATTTTAACGTAGCTTACGAAGACGGTGCATCTCAATCTTGGGGACTAATTGCTCAAATCTCTTCGAAGGAAGGGACTTTATAAACAAGTCTGCAAGATTTTCACATGATTGAATTTATTAGACATTTATCTTCCCTTCCTTCTGCAAATCGTGTGTAAAGAACAATTTTAGGGATAAGTGTATAATCCTATCTCCTTTGATGTATCCTTCGATTACTTGTGAGATGCATGCAGTATTGTCTTCATAAATAATGGTTGGATTTTCAGCTACTCCTTTTATCCCACATTCTTCTTGGATATTGCCAATCATTAATCTTAGCCATACACATTCGCGTCCTGCTTCATAAAGGGCGATCAACTCGGCATGATTTGATGATGTTGCGGTCAAAGTTTGCTTTGTTGATTTCCAAGATACTGTAGTGCCACCATAAGTAAACAAATATCCAGTTTGTGAGTTGGGATTTTGTGGGTCTGATAGGTTTCCAGTATCTGCATATCCGATGAGAGTGGCATCTTGTCTTGATTGATAGAACAAACCATGATCTTGCGTTCCTCGTAAGTATCGAAATAAGTGTCTTATTCCTTTCCAATGTCTTTGCGTTGGTGAGTTGCTACACCCGGCTAACAAGTTCACAGAGAAAGCTATGTTGGGTCTAGTATTCTTATCTAAATACATTCAAGCGCCAATTGCACTTAGATATGGCACTTTAGGACCAAGAACTTCCTCGTTTTATTCTTGAGGTCTAAATGGATCATTTTTCATGTTCAAAGATCGAATAACCATCGGGGTGTTTATTGGGTGCGCTTTGTCCATGAAAAAACGTTTTAACACTCTTTCAGTGTAGTTAGACTGGTGGACAAAAATACCATTACTCAGGTGCTCAATTTGCAACCCAAGACAAAATTTAGTTTGTCCAAGGTCTTTCATCTCAAATTCTTTCATCAAGTATTTTGCAGTTCTTTCAAGTTCATTTGGAGTTCTGATAATATTCAAGTCATCAACATAAACTGCAATAATTGCAAATCCTAATTGTGATCTCTTAATGAAAACACAAGGACTAATTTAATTATTTTTGAGACCTTCTTTCATAAGGTATAACTAAGACGATTATACCACATCCTTCCAGATTGTTTCAATCCATAAAGTGACCTTTTTAATTTTATGGAAAGTGATTGTCTAGGCTTGTGGTTTCTGGTAATTATAGTCCGTCAAGCACTTTCATATAAATGTTTGTATCAAGTGGCCCATATAAGTATGCGGTCACTACATCCATCAATCGCATCTTTAGTCTTTCTAAGACTGTCAAGCTTACCAGAAATCTTAATGTAGTTGCATCAACTACAGGAGAATATGTCTCTTCATATTCAATCCCTGGAATTTGAGAAAAACCTTGGGCTACAAGTCTTTCCTTGTATCTAACTATTTCATTTTTCTCATTTCGTTTTCTCACATATATACCCATTTGTATCCAACTGGCTTTACACCTTCTTGCGTGAGGGCTATTTTGCCAAATACTTCTCTTTTTCAACTAACTTTAACTCTGTTTGCATGCTTCTTTCCATTTCGGCCAATCATGCATGCAATGACATTCTTCCACTGTTCTTGGTTTAATATCATCTTCATCAAATGTCATTTTAATTTCAATGGAATATGCAAATATTTCATTTATGATAACATCATTTCTAGTCCAATGATTCTTGGTAGAAACATAATTCATTGAAATTTCATTATTATCGATGTCATGGTCATCTTGTTCACTCCCTTTCGGATTTTCATCTTTTTCTTTTTCTTTATTTTCATCTATGTCTAGTCTTTCCTGACCTTCCATTAGGGGAATATTTTTAACCTCATCGGGTCTTTTTTGTTTTCTTAGTTTAGAATCTTTTGAACCAAGTGGTCTTCCACGCTTCCGGCGTGCTAGAGATTCATTTTCAATGGTCTTATCACCACATGGAATTTCAATACGTGCAGGTCAGCTGATATATATGATTTTGTCACTTTCTTTGTATCTATGAATGCATTAGGCAGCTGATTTGCAACACTTTGTAAACGACAATTTTCTTGACTTCTTGTTCACATATATTTGTTCGTGCAGTGGATCAAACATTGACAATTGTGTTGCATTCCAAATAATTTCTATTTCTTTCTTTCGTGGGTCCACTTTCTCTCCCCCTACGGCTGGGAATACTATTTCATTGGAATGACAGTCGGCAAATCTAGCCGTAAATAAATCACCAGTCATTGGTTCAAGATATTAATTATGGATGGGGATTCAAACCCAACATAAATTTCCAGCCTTCTTTGTTGACCCATCTTTGTTCGTTGGGGTGGAGTAATAGAAACATACACCGCACAACCAAAGATCTTTAGATGTGAGACACTTGGTTCTCGACCAAAATCTAACTGTAGTGGTAAGAACTTATGATAAGTTATCGATCTCAATCTAATTAGAGTTGCTGCATGTATTATGGCATGACCCCAAGAAGACGAAGGCAATTTTGATCTCATTAATAATGGCTTAACAATCAATTGTAGTCTCTTGATTAATGACTTAGCGAGGCCATTTTTTGTATGAACATGAGCTACTGGATGTTCTACAACAATTCGGCCTAGTCCATGTCCTAAGCCCTGTGACCTGTAATGACAAAAATACCCCTCCATGATCCAGCCCACCATTACTCATTATAAAGTACGGATTTGCCCCTAATTTGTACACTCAAGTACAAGTCTGCCACCTGAAAAGTGCATCTATAAATAGCTCATCATTCATTAATGATGGGGGATTTTTCTAATTCTCTCTCCTTCTCTGTTTACTTTCTCTCTCTAATTACTCTTTCTCTCCCTACTTTCTCTCTCTAGAAAGTACTCTTGCTAACTTAAGCATTGCAGGGGCTTTCTCGGGTCACACCCTCGGGGCAGCTAACCTTCTCTATTTTGCAGGCCTAGCTCTCAGGCATACAGGCGGAGCTCTCAGACATACCTTGGCTAGGCGGAGCCGAAGGACGTTTGGACAAAAGTCAGACTTAAATTCTAGGACCCCTTGATACCCTTACCATAACATCCCAAGGAGTATTATGTTTCTAGGAACAGGTGGCGCCGTATGTGGGGATAACAAACAAAAAGCTACGGTGAATACTAGGCATCCCCGAACATATCAAGATGCAACTAGACAAGCTCCAATCCTCTTAACTCGTCATTCACATCAATCCTCGATAGTGCTGCGGGAGTTAGGTCAGCCTAGCTGAGGAATATGCTTCTATCAACCCCTCGTCATGCCTAGCCGAGAGATATGCATCTATGGACCCCTCATCATGCCT